ATTTTTTTTTTTTTTTTTTTTTTTTAATTAGGTTCGGTTACAATTTAGTAGTATTCAATTTTACCCATAAATTAATTTTTCATCCCTGCGAAGTTTTCCAAAGGAACACATACACACTTTTTTGTCGAATTATCTTTCTTTTACGAGAGAGTTTACGTCGATAAGGAAGGGGATAGAAGGTCGATGTCGAACGATCCGAAATCACGTTCAGCTAGAGCGCAAACGAAAAATCCAAACGTTTACGGTACAAATAAGAAAAAGATCCAACAAGACAACAAGACCTGGTTCCATACACCAGGATTTCATGCAGTCAATTCGAACTTGTAGCTGCATCAATACACAAGCACTCATATAACCCAAAAACATTGCACACTCGATTCTTTCATTCTACCTCTCTTTATTCCCGTCTCTCCAACGATTACCCTCTCTCCTTTGTTTACTTCTCTGCATTCCCTTTATTATAAGAAAAAAAACCTTGACTACTTATACCAAAAGTTCGAAATTTCTTTTGTACCTTTCTTAAACTAAAAATAAATTTGTTCGAAAAACAAATATTTATTTGCAAATTGTATTTGTATATTTATAATATAAAAGAAATTTCGAGTATTACGAAGAATTTGTAATAAACGAGATTACGTTAAGAAAATAGTTTCGCTGTGAAAAAAAAAAATTAACATAATTATTAAAACTATCGACTAAAAATAAAAACAGTGATGCAAATAGAGAGTTGCGAAACTCTCTTTCTTCTCATGTTGTGTGCACAATCTGATCATACGTCGTCGGTAATACAGTGTACTGTTTCTGTAGATAGAAGGTAAACGACTGATTGCCACGTTGTATACGTTCGATCCATGCGTTTCTTCGTCGCTCAGCACCAGAATTAACACTTCTTTCGACGTAGCGAAACTAACATGTTAATGAGAGTTAATACAACTGCTTCGTAATACGGTGTACAAAGAACTCTCACCATAAATAAGTTTAGCGAATCCAAGAATGTTGTTTTGAGGTCTAAATATTATATAAGTTTTACGTTTGACATTTAGAAATAAGTAATCAGTTCGCTTTTATCAAAGTCTGTTTTATGATTATTTTACGGTTCACGATTAACGCATGTAGTTTAATTTGTTACGAATAGATAGGAAATAATACCGTATTATGATTCGAAAACTTATGGACGCCGCGGTGCCAAATTTACGTTATTATTAATGCACTTTTCGTTCAGTGAATACGTGCCGTAAACCGAAGGAAAAAACTGCACTTGGTTCTGGTGCAATGCGTAAAGTATGCGATAGTAAGAACAAAGTGTTAGGAGAATTTTTGTAGAGTAATTCGATGACCACTGTGTCCACGTAGAACATGCAACGAAAATGCACTTGAATGAGAAGGCGATGACTCCCAGCTTTCAAGGACCTTGCAAGAAAAATGCACTTCACAGCAAAGAATCGGGAGAGGGAGATGCAGCAGATATCCCACCACTCCAGCTTTTTGCGCTCCTCTTAGATTTTCATTGAAATATTATGTAAAATTTACGATATATACCTAGACGATCTTTTGCCACGTTTTATATTTTACCGTAATTAGATTTTAATATCTCTCGCAAATTCTTTTTGCATCAAAGTAAAATAAATAAAACTTAGCTTATATGTCACAACTAAATAGTTCATAGTTTTCTTATTAAATTTCAATTATTTCCTACATTTTTTGTTATAATAAGATATGTGAATGTGAAATTTTTATTTGAACTTTGTAAAATATATTAATACTTTATTTATGCATAACTTTATCGTTTATGAATAAACTTACCTTTATTTTTATGCATAATGAATGAATCAAATAATTCTAGTTGCAGCGTTTTTAAGTATTTTAAAACTGTTAAATGAATATAATAAAACAAAGATTTACGGAAAAAAAAATTTGGTTAAGATATGTTTTAAAGATGTCAAATATACATTTAAAATTCATTTTAATGCATATAAGCAATCATATGAACAAAACTCACGAGTATAATCTTCTATGGTAATATTAACTTTTTAACAGAAAAATATGTTTCCACAAAGAATATCTTTTCTTCAAGAGAAATTACCCTTTATCAAGAATCTTTTCTCTGAATTTATTTACATATTTAATTTAATGCAATTAAAACCCCTGTATATATGTCAAGAAAAATGATTAGTTTTTAAATTTTATTAAGGTAAGTTTATAATATTAGGATGCACATGACGATCAATGTTTAAAAAAAAAAATTAAGAATATATAAGAGGCAGTCATGCATATATGTAGAATGTTCTCCATTTCTTTGTAATATTTTATAATATTTTTCGTTTCTTTATTTTTCCCTTTGTTACTATTTTATTAACTACTTACCATTTCTCATTAGATAGCATGATTGTATAGTGAAAAGAAAAATATATTTTGCATGAAATATAAATGTGAAATGGTGCTTAGTTCTCAATGACCATCTCAGAACATTCTAAGATAATGAAGAACTAAATGAGCCTGTAGTAAAATCACAACACGTCCCTCCAAAATTATGAGCTAGATTTTATTACATTACTTATGAAGCATTACCTTCGCTTTAGATACTTGAGAAATTTCTTCCTTCTTCACCCTCAGTTAAAATGTACGATGAAAGATAAGAAGTTGATGAGAATAAAGACGACCAAGCAGCGAACAGTCCATCAGCGAAGGATAATAAAATGGAGAAGTGGAAAAGGACTCAACTGCACCATATCATTGTACTAAAGTCCACTGATGATGCTGATATCTGATCTTGACACCTAACACACACTCAGTTGCCTAAGATCCTGCAACACACATCATTTTTTCCATACTGTACCTATAAACCTCTTATAACAATCAGAAACTGTAACTATAAAATAAATATTAAGCTTCAACATTATTTGATTTCAAAAACTACAATATTATTACATATAGTGTGTTGCTTTTTAATTTCTGGGTTTCTATTTTTTTTTTAATATTTTATTTATTTACTTTTACAAATACTAATATCTTATATACTTTTTTCTAGCTTTTAATATTACATGACATTATATTGTGCAACATAATATAATGAATAGAATAGTAATAAAATATATATATATATATATATGTATATATGCGTATATATACAAACATGAATTGTGTATACACGCACGCACACACATGTATATATATCATATTTACTATTCCGTTATTCTGTAGTCCATATAAATAAGAATATTAACAAGAATTTAAAAAGATTATATAAAATTAATACCTACGATTACTATAAGATATTATATTTCATATTTTAATGTTATTTAATTAATCAAAAGACGTAAAATATTTCACTTTATTAAATAAATAAAATTTAACAATGTTAAATTTTGAATATACCTACTATTATCCAAAACAATACACTTATTATAAATATATAATGAGAAGTATATCAGCACTTGATATAAAGAAACATTACTAAGCTTCGACACCTCGCATTTTTTTAAAATACAAAAAAATGTTTAAAGCAAACAAAATTCTCTTAACGATAATAACAGATAAAAGTCACAGAAAAATGAGTGAATTAAGTGATTTCATGCACGATGAGAGTGATCTTTGAAATCAACGGCGAACTTCAAATGTAAGAATTCTTTTTGCGTTGTGCATTACCCATTCGCCATTTTCACAACTTGGAAATGTTGATTGAAATATATTTGTGAAGCACACCAGAATATTTGACTCACCGAACTTACTATGTAAAAACGGCGAATCTCATAAGGAGAATGCTGATTATAGACGCCGTAAACAAATTTAAACACGACAACAAAGAAATTTTCTTTTCCAGCGAACGCCAAACGCTTCCTGCCTTCAGCCAATTCTGTAATGGCCGTCGTTTTCCGTGCGATTGGTTATGAAAACCCCTCAAACGTGCTACTCACTGCTGCCAATATTACGCACTTAAATTCGACGTTTCTTGAATTATAAATATTTTTAATTAAATAGATTAAAAGGACTTATTTTTTTGTAGTGTTATCTTTAATGTTCATTTAATGAAAATAAATTTATAAAATTAATCATCTAATTATGTAATATAATACATTATGAAACGCTTGATACATAATATTTTTTTTGTGTTATTATAGACAAATTATGTTTAATAAGAACATTTTTTGTCATAAATATGTTTTGAATGTGAAGGACATAAAAGAACACTAAAGCATTTTATCCATCTGGCAACATTGCTTGGCCCGCGAAACAGTTCGAGATATTCGGGAAGACACGAAGTAGTCGATTGCGCGGGTAGACGTTAGTGCGTTGAGTTTGTGGAGCGAATAAGAAGGAAAATGGCGATGGCAACAACTCAAGTTAAGGGAAGTGGATGGCCAAGAAGAGCTAGTAACAGTTCTTTTGAAGGGAAAGTGGTACAGAACCAGTCTGTAACTATCAACAGGACAGTTAATTTGTAAGTGATAATCAATATGTGACTTAATTACATTATTTTTTAGAGTTAATGTTTTGACTGCCTCTCCTGTAGAACAACTATGGCCGGTTAAGAGACGCTAGCAATTAAAATTATGTTCCTAACACCTTTCAATGCATCTTACATGGTACAACCATGAGACGGCTGTTCATCTTTTTGTTAAGTACTCATGGAAATTTTAAGCAATACCTTATTTGAATCGTATTGATTGATTAACGATTCAATAATTTATCTTTTCTTGCTATTGTGAAACATAACCAACTATTTTAATATATTTAGAAATTTTCGATGTTATAAAATATTTCTTCAGAATCAGTAACATGTACATTTTTATCAGATTGAATTAATTATTTGCTTAAAATTTCTGGATATAGAATAAAGATATATCTTTTGTGCTTTATTTGCACAAAGTATAATCTTCTGATAATAAAGAAGCTAAAGACAAATTTAATTTCCATTACATTATATTTGTGAACATATAAAAGTTGTAGCCATCGTATATATAATGTACGCTGGCCTCTTTTATACATTGAATGTATGTTTGCGTACGAAAACATGTTTTGTTATTTTTTACAGTCAATGTAATAATGTGACTGTTAATTTGTAATGCGTATATACTTGAAAAACAGTTGTATTGTCACTGTTTATTGTTTCTACTTGTATACTACAAATTATTTTGATGTGTATAAAAAAAATGTACAAAATAATTTCGCAAGTCAGACTGCTATGGTTTAAGATTTATATAACTTGTAATGGCTAAAACTACACATATTTGTATTTTTTTTATTAGTAAATTGGCCTTCCATATTTTATGTAAGATAAATTTTGCAGTATAACATATTTTTGTATCTACATTATTATGAATGTATTTGTCTCAGATAATCCATAACTATATTTAGTTGTTAATTTAAGAGATCACATAATGTGCATAGATATTGATAAATATTTTTAATAATTTTTTATAAAATGAAAAAATTAATATAAAACAGAACTTACATGAAATATTGCACATTGCATTTAAAATTTTCACTTATGCGCCATTGGTAATGTTTCAGAAATGGAACTAGGCATTGAAGTATGTAATATATCTATTACACATCACAAAATATCACTTGATATTTATAAGTGAATAATACACTTTATTTGTATAATGTAATGAACTAATTGTATAGGCATAAGTACTTTAATTAATTATTCACATCTTGATATTTTAGCAAGTTTATGATTGTGTAGTATTTACAAATATTAGAAAATATTACAAAATATTTGTCTTAAAAGAAAGCTGTTAAAATTTCTTAGCATACAATCTACATATTACACCATATATGTGTTAGGAAAAAATTGCAGACATATAAGAGTAGTATAAATATATGTATTTATGTACTTATGAACAGATAATATGACTACATTTGATAAATCTTACTTATAACTAATGTAAAATGTAATGTTATAAGTAACATAGTATTTTGTATACATCAATCATAGTTGATAATTTGTACTTGATAACTAACAGTAAGCAATCACTATATATGTGATGTTCATATAGAAATTTAGTATGCAAACAGAAATTTAATTTGTTACATGATACTTTGATAAACATTGCTGAACAACACTGTATTTGTATACAAGCTTTGTAAATCATACAGGTGTAAATTTGATCAATTTCTACTTATTCATATTTTCATTATATATATATTTTTTTATTCAATGTATATATATTTCTAAACATGAAAAGTGTCAGATATAAAGTCATTATTTTTATATTATAAATCTGTATGTTATTCCTCTTGCTTGCATGAACAAAATAATATTTTTTGTCTTGTATAAAAATGTGGAAGTTAATATAAGGTTTACTGGGAACAAAATTACATGCTCAAACTATCTAGTGCATTGTGAGTACCTGTATAATCTTTATAATTACATATTGTAATATTATTTGTAAAAGTGATGTTGAAGAGACTGGATTTAGTTACTGAAGGATTACATAAAAAGTAAGAACCTAACACAAAAATAAAACTCATTTATCATAGATATCCTTTGACAAACTATACATTTGGAACAAAAGAGCCACTCTTCGAGAAAGATCCATCTGTACCAGCAAGGTTTCAGCGTATGCGAGATGAATTCGATAAAATTGGAATGCGCCGCAGTGTTGAAGGGGTTTTGTTGGTACATGAACATGGATTACCACATGTCCTCCTGCTCCAATTGGGAACAACATTTTTTAAATTGTAAGTAAAAATTTTGTTTTAATAGGCTATATACCAAAACTCAGTGTCATGATCATCCGAAATTTGGATTAGTAATTAGTACAAGTAGGTTTCGAAATTTATTTGCAATAATTGGAATGTTGAAATCTCGGTGGTCGTATCTCACAAGATATTTTCGGATTTTCACATATCCCTGGGTTTAAGTATAAAAAATATTTTAAAATTTATTAATGTATATAAAAATATTTTTTTCTTTTTGTTGTTAGACCTGGAGGAGAACTAAATGCAGGAGAAGACGAGGTAGAGGGCCTAAAACGGCTCCTTACAGAGGTAACAGTTAGCACGACGCCTTATGCTACCTTACGAGGTAGCTAGGAGTGGCACTTTGATATGTTAGATTGTAACACTGTTTAAGAATCGATTGTATTAATCCTACAGACATTTGTAGAACTTATGTAACCGGGCCTGTAGCTCAAAATAGGGAATTTCTAATTACATTAGGATTTACGTTTTTAGTGCGCTGCATGCCCGGATATTTCAATGTTTATAGTAATACAGTTATAACTTGTTACATTATACATATCATGGTTAGCTAAGAACATTGTTCTTATGTCACTCGTTATATATATATTACTCAGACATAAAAGGGGCAAGACGCGAAGATTGTAATATTATGACAAGAAGACTGTATTTTATATGTCATTATGAACTTTTTGTTGGAATTCATTAAAAAAACAAACGGAAAGATTGTATTAAATAACATCTAGTTCTAGAATATTTTGCTAGAAAATATTTAAAGTATGCAGTACCATGATTCTTCTTCATATAACAAATAGGTGGTTCTCAGGTCATATATTTATGCATTTGTCAAATCTTTGATTAAAATGATAAATGTATGTACAACAGCTGTTTCATTTAATTAGGTATCTGTAAGCAAAAGAACTGAAAGTATTTGAATAAATACTTTTAACCTGTGTTACTTATATAGAAACTAACAGGAACATATTAGGGAATTATTGATTAGGTTAATTGTTAGCTGAATTAATAAGATTATATAACCGTTTTAAATATAAAAAAAAATTGTGTAACCATGTTCTTAGTGGACTGAACGAAGAAGATTGTATTTTAATGTATATGAAGTGTAGCAGAATTGAAATAATAAGTACTATAATATCGAAATAACTTTTAGACCTTTGGGCGACAAGATGGAGTCAAGCATGCAGGAATGGGTGATAGAAGATACCATTGGAAACTGGTGGAGACCTAATTTTGAACCACCTCAATATCCTTATGTACCACCACATATTACTAAACCAAAGGAACACAAAAGATTGTTTCTTGTCCAACTGCAGGAAAAAGGTAATTTTATTCTATTCGTAATAGTCTTAGCTATAAAAATATATTGCCATATTGAAAGCAATATTTTTGCATTTTTTAGCTCTATTCGCAGTACCTAAAAACTATAAGTTAGTTGCTGCACCATTGTTTGAATTGTATGATAATTCACAAGGATATGGACCTATTATTTCCTCGCTACCACAATCGCTTTGCAGGTAATTATCATATACGGAATTCTTAATTGAATTAAATGTTTGTTATTTTTATCACCTTTTTAAATTATTTTATTTTATGTTACAGATTTAATTTTATCTATATGTGAAAGAAAATATAAGTGAGAAAGTGGAGTAATTTTATTTAACAGAAACTACTATAAATACAATGTATGTATGAGATGACGAGTGAAACTGCAAAAAGACGTGATCTATGTATAATGTGACGTACACTAAAAATTAAATCTTTTTTTAAGTAGTACTTATATAATTCATTAGCACTTTTAATCTCTAATCCTTATATTTATGTTAGTTTCATTTCATACTTAATGATAATCATTATATCTACATTTATTCATAAGATGTACATATATTGTTAAACTTCACTGTTTATATTTGATTGTGGAGTGTTTTAGTTTAATGTTATAAATTCTTTCGTGGAAGATAAATTTAATTGATTAAAATTTAATATGCGTGTAAATATATAAATATATATTTATATATTTACATGCATACACATACGTACATAATTTTATGATAAATATAATTTTGTAAAATTACAATAAAATTCATGGACGTTAATCTTATAAAGATTAAACTCACAATTCATATCATAAAGTGTTAATATTAATTATTGTGAATATTTTGTTTTCATACTAGTAATATTTAGATAAAAAATCATATACACATTTTTGATGTTATACAATAAGATAGAAAAAAATAACTGAATTGGATTTGTATTTTTACAGAATATAAAAAAATGTTTGTAATTTGTTAACATTTTTAAGAATGTAATTGAATATATTCAATAACATTATAATTTTCAGTTTTCTACTGAAATTCTTAGAATATTGGTTATTTGTAAGTTAAAATCTATAAAAATTGTTTGTAATCTACCTTATTTGTATCTAATAATTTGTATCTATCATACCGCCATTTTGTATTTAGCAAGGTAGCGTGGAGGAGAACTATCGATAGTTACTACCATCGATAGTTTGACATCAAACTATATGTCTGTTGTTCAAAATATATGTTACAGCTGAAGAACTTAATTTCGTGCATAATTATCGATTATTTCTGTTAATTCGAATCCTACAAAACTTTTTTATGTAGACAAAAGTGATCAATATTAATTATTGCAAATAATTATTTTTTTAACTGTTATACTTCGGAAATGTAAGAAGGTAAAATGTGTACTTGGAGAGAAAGAAATATAATTTAAGATAATAGCCACTGATTTTTATTTAAAAATATCAATATAACAACATTTTTTTATTTCAGTTTGAATATACGTGTGATATTATATTCCCAGCTGTATTGAAGATTCTTTCTGAATCATTTTATGTTGCTAAAATGTATAGATACTTTTTATTGTAATAAAATGTTGACTAATTATTATGGAAATAAGGTGGTGGTGGCAGTACCGTGACCGTAAAAACAAAAGATCGATACTATCGACGGTAAAAAAAAAAGAAAACTATCGATTGTTTTCGATAGTAAACACTATCGATAACTATCGATAGCATCATCGATAGTTCTCCATCTTACAAGGTAGTAGGAGCACATGTACTTGACATTTAGAAATCAGAATATTTGAAATGTTGAGAATTTGTGTTTAATATAAGAGGAAAGTATATATATATATTTACCCATAAAATGACACAGAATGAATCAATTATGACAAAGGTATATATAAGAACAATAATGTCATACATTTTTTCTTTTAGATTTATTATCTTATCTTAACCTCTGCCTGAAGTTCATAAATATTTTTATATGCGTTAGATACAGAAAGTAGAAAATATGTTAAATGAGTCTATGTACAAATTGAATATATTAAAAAAAAGACTCGACACAAAATTGCTTACAATGCAGACTCGTGAAGAATTGGAAACAAAACTGGAAGAAGTTAAACAGGAACTTGAAAAAAATGAAGAGAAATTGAAAAATTTAAGGAGACAGAATACAAAATCATTCATGTTAGCAGCAAGCTTGATTTTTGCATGTTTTTTGCTTTATGGATTATATTTAATGTTTTATGGAACAATATAAATTAATATTCCTAAATTATGCATACTTTAAGGAATGTTAAATTAATTTAATGTTGAAAGTCTATTCACTTTTAACATTAGTATATTATAACCAATATTTTGTTGTAATTTTGTATTTAATAGTTAGTATAAGAAAGATTATATATTTTATTGCTATTTAACTTTTATATCAATATAACATTTTTTAAAGATTTTTTTTATAAATTACTATATACTATACTGTACTATTAGCAACATATGTGTTATTATATAACATTTATTATAGAAGTGATGGGGTATTCCAAAAAGTACTTTATAGCAATACTAATTTTCTTTAAATATACAAAAACATTCAGAATCTTCTAAGTACAAGTAGTATATTAAGCAATGTAAACATAAGGTAACAGAAAAGCTTTCTAAAAAGACTGATACGACAATATATTTTATTTATATTATATAAATGAAGTGATTTCATAACACAAAATATAATTTTTCTAGTTGTTATAAATAATAAGAAAGTAGAAAGTTATATTTATATTAGTTTTATAATAAACTTACAAAATTAAAAAATTGATAGCCACTACATTATTCACAGCATTATAAATATATGTTATATTTTAAATATATTATATTTAGAATATAAGAGAACAACTGAAGTTCATTAATTTAAGCAGTAGCCAAATCGTATTGTGGTATTCCAACTCGACGACTTCGCATGTATTTAGCATGTACTTCAGTATCTAAGTAACTAGATTGAACAGCAGGATTTTCTTTCATTGCAGATCTCCATTCCAACTAAACACGTAAATGATAGAAGTAATTGAAAAGTATTAAATGTTTACTTAATTAATATTTACACATTCTAATTTGTACAAAAATTCTATATTATATTTATCAAATATGTTTGTAACTTACCAATCTTTTGAATCTATCACGTGGTATAGTAAACTGATCTCCACGTAAAATTCTAATGACATCTGATCTTTCCCACCATGGCCATATCATAAAATCTAACATACCAGGAGAATTACCATTAAAGAATGGTGTACCTTTTGATGCAAGTTCTCTTTCAAAAAATTCTAATTCTAATAGTGCTTCATCAAATACATCACGGTCTGTAGATGTACTGATACATAACTTAAATAAAATTATTTATTAATTATTGATATGTAATATTGTAAATAGGTAAGTTGTACATATAAAAATGGTAATTATGAAAAATAAATACCTTATACATAGTATTTATAACAGAATTAAATCTACCAATTAACAACTTGTCCTTAGCTCTAGATAGGGGATCATTGGGGTAAAGTTTATTTTGTGGATATGCATCATCTAAATATTCAGCAATCACAAGGCTTTCATACAAGGTTTCCCCTCCTTCTAATTCTATACAAGGAACTTTGCCTACAGGACTCTTTGCTAATAACCAATCTGGTTTCTGAGTCAAATTTACATAAACAACATCATGTCTGTAATTAAACAATATTTTATTAGCTAGCTGAGGTTTTATAAGAATTTGAAAAATAAATAAATAATGATTACTACATTTACGGATAGAAATAAAAATATAATGAGCAGAAAATGTAAATTAGATGACTGTTTTATTTATACAAGATAACAAATATTTGTTACATATAAAAGGTATTAGAAAATTCTGAAAAATAAATCATAATTTTAAAAAGTTTGTTTACTCACGGTATATGTTTCGCGTCAAGTACTAAATGAATTCTTTGGGCATATGGACAAAATCGCATACTATATAAACGTATCTTTCCAGGTACAATGGGTGGGGCAACTGAACCTAATAAATAATAGAATAAGAAGAATTATATATTTTGTAATTATGCTAATATTAAGTATCAGTAATATAATCTTACCGGCTGCCAAGTGTTTGGAACTCATTTTACTAGTCTCGTTAGTTGAAAGTTTTTAAGTATTTTTTAACTAACTGTGTAATTTCTCTTTTGCTGTGAATAATTTCACATTATCTTGTAACGTGAATGGTTTAATAAATACTGATGATATTTCAAGGTTCTTCTGGTCCAGGTTATCTGTTTTTAATCTGGAACGAGATCTGAAATATTGTATACCTAAATGTATCTCTTTTGTTATGAAAGTCGTTCTCAAAGTCATCTTAATTGTGGTAACTAATGAGTCATCGATAATTTATAATTTTTTCCTATTTTTGAAAGTGATGGTGGATTTTTTCTCACGAGAATTTAATTATTGAATTCAAGTCAGGCAACTTTTAAAGGGAAAGATTCTAGTATTTACGGAAAGAATTTCAATGATTTATCTAGGAATATTTAGTTCCTTAATATTGATTTTACAGTGTCGGAACTTCGTCATTTTTAGACATATTTTTGAAAATCTTCAGTCTCATACTTCATGTATTTATGTATGTAAAGTTTTAGAGATATAAGTGAAGCTTATATTATATAATTATTTTCGTAAATATATAAATTATGCGAGAAAGTGTACTGCCTCATTTTACGAGGAAAGTGGGTGCTATTTTACCTGGAATTTGTTCTACCATACAGGTACTATTGATATATGTTAACTATTTTATTACTTGTATTTGGTTAATAATGTAATAATATTGCAGTATTTATCGTGTGTATTTGATATTATTTTATCAATTAATTCATATCACCTGTAAGAATATTCAAATTATGTTAGAATATAAAACATAACTTAAAACCGGTATAAAATGGAACATATTTGAAAAAATTAATGAAAATTATTTTAGCTTATAATGATTTCCCACAAATTTTTAATGGTTGTTATTAATTGTTTAATTTTTCCCCTTTCTCATTTAAGTTTAATTATTTAAGATGTTTTTTTCGAAACCCTTAACATTCTTTATTTATACTTAAATTCAAGTTTTAATACTTAAAATGATTCTTTGGTAGGCATTAACGGTTATCGACTAAGCATGTAACCGTATTTCCTAAAGTCAACATTTGAATTTAAAAATTAATTATGAATTTTACGAACGATTTTTTTCGGTAAGTTTAAATTTAAATTTCATCTAAATTTTCTCGTTTAAGTAACCATTCTTATCTATGAAACAGAGCCATAGACCTACCTACTTTTCAATCACTCATAACTCTATTCTCAAACCTCGCCAGGTACCCTTTGAGCAGTGTTTCACCTTAAAGAAGAGAAAGCCCAAGAAAGGGGTGAAAGCGTCGATTGGCCAACCCTCAGCCTTGCTGCTATCAAGACTCGACTCCTCACTAACTATAACAACCGTACACAGAGGATCAGATGGTTGAGCTGCTTAGGTAAAAGTGGTACCGGTGAAGGACACACGTAGGTAGAGTACAGAGGGCTGCTGGAAGCGTGTGGGATGAGGGAGGGTTTCGGGGGTGTAGAGAAACTACAAGGGGTCGAGTGAGAAGTCATGGTAGAAGATGTGGTAGAGGCGTGAGGAGGAACGGCGCGAGCGCTGATTGGTAGCAGAATCGATTAGCTGAGCCGAGCTAAACCTCCGGCACCGCGGCAGCTTCGGCGACGCCACGAATTTCCCGAATGGGGGTTTCCCGTTGGGGCGGGCCCGAATCCAGGGAATACCCGACGTTCTCCATGGCAACCCGACCAATTCGCCAACCGCCGACAACGAAGACTGACCTACCGTGTGTTGCTTACGTTTTTCCCCCTTTCTCTTCTTTTTTCTTTTCCTTTTTTTTTTTGTCTTTCTATCCATCCCCTCCCTATGGAGGCTCTCAATCCGGTTCTCGTTCCACCGCGCTGTCCTTTGTGTCTGCTTCTTTTCTCTTTTGTTTCCTTTCTTTCTTTTTCTAGGTTTCGTTTACGCTCTAAGGAAGAAAGAGAGAAGTGACACGATTCTATTCCTCCTTTCATCCAACGTCGTCGTCGTCATCGTCAACCTAACTTCGGTACAGAGCTCGCTTATACTCGTCAAAACTGTGTGCATCGCGTGTATGTGTGCATGTATGCGTTTGCGCACGCGTGTATGTACATGTATGCACAGATATGAGAGAGTCACATTGATTTTGCCGACGACTGATACAACCCCGTCGGCACGTTTAATTAGAACATGGCGACTTTAATACAAGCGCACGACAACAAGAACAACAACAGCGCCCCTTCCCTCCCGCTGGCTCTTCTTCGGCTCTCGCTGCCTCTTCTTTCATCCACGCCTCATTCCATGTTCTGTCTTTCCACTACCACTTTCTCATACGATGTTTCCCCGCCGCAGACGCGCGATTTTCCAATCGACGAAATTCGCTTTCTCCATAGTTTTCGAAGGGGTCGCTTATCTACCTAGCCTAACGCGGTCTATGCTAGTGCCAAACACCCCTCGCCCTCCCTCTCATCCATCATTGTCATCGTCGTCATCGTCATCGTTATTATTATCATCCCAGTGTTCCAGTTTGTGTTAATCTCGCCCACTCTTCTTTCTACCACTCACGCCACTCATCCGTTCGTGATTTTTGTTTCCTTTGCTCTCTCTCTCTCTCTCTCTCTCTCTCTCTCTCTCTCTTATACGTATACATACATACACGCATACAACGGAGTCACGCAGACACATCATACCGAAATACATTCTCGCGCTAAACTATGTTCTCTACATGCCTACGCTACACATGAAAACACCCTATCTACATTAGAGCTCGCCGACGTTTCACGGAGTCAGCTTCTTGTTTCTTCCTTTTTTCCTTTCTTTCATTCTGTCGTTTTCTGGAAAAAATGAAGAAAAGCTCGGACGGGCGAGCGTCGTTTTCCCGTCCCGGTAGAACGATCGTCGTGGTTGACTCCGCGGAGCGATCGAGAAGTTTTAGTACGACTAATCGTTAGAGTAATTCTAGGGATGCTTACGTCTTATGAATGGTATGATACAGTATACGACTTAAGGAGTTACTCGCATCATCGACAGAGGTACACCTTTCCACAGTGGGGTAAATCGCCGCCAGATCTTGCTCCGTGGTATATACCTTTTTATTTTTTTTTTTTTGTTTCCTCTTTCTGCCTGGTTTTATTTTCTGTCCATTTTGTTGTTTAAGGTTCCACGGTTGGTGTTAGCATTCAATTTGGAGACCTACCCCTACGTTTGCTTATATAGATAGAGCGACCGCATCTCTCGATTGATCGGTGAGAATCGACGGTGAACGCGGCCTCAGGATTTCGTACGTTCCGTTTGATATGACTCGACGTTGTACTTTATCAATCTCGATAATTGCGACTCGAGCTTCCGTTGGATTGATGGATGCGCTGCGTTCACCCGGGATTTGTCGCTGGTTTATTGGTTTCGCTGCTATCGCTGTGTCGTGGCCAAGGAGAAGGATGTTACGTTGATTCTGGAATCACTTCTGAGATTTATATCGATTATATGGTACGTTCGAATCAGAAACGTACTGCACAGCGAGGTGTAAAGTACGATTTTGGACAGAACGGATTTTTTTAAGCAAGTAATATGCTCTATTCGTAAGCACTAATCTTGTAAGTCTCTACGAATATCTCTTCCTCTATCTTATTCGATATTGAAAATATTCAAAAAGTCATTTAACGAGACCAAATTTTTATTTCTTATGATGCTTTCAGATAGCCTCGCCATTTGTCAACGACCATGGCTCATATCACAAATGAATAGCTTCAGAAATAATCCCAGGATCGAAGGAACACATTTCTACATCGCTGCTCCCGGGTGAACTGGAAATGAGATTTTTTGGTTGCACGGTTGAACTCATGATCCTCGTAGAAATTTCGTTGGTCGCTCGCGGTTTAGTCTTTTCCGCGGCACTGAAACACGCATCGTACTTCGTTGTGAAATCGTGATTGCGTGAAGATCGCGAAAAGAGAAGTGTGCGTGTATTGGTCGCTAAATGAACGCGGCGTGTGTCTTGAACCCGCGCCAACAATGCGAGCAGCGTGATTTTTCTGAACGACGACATGCGGTTTCTCTATCTACATTTTCGTTATGTAACAAATAAGTTAAAAGAGTTTATAATACACGCATCGCTCTTGGCCCGAATCGAACATGTACACATTTCTTATAGAATGATCAAGCTTATTTGGATATTCGATTATCGCCGGTCATCGTGCGCATACGGTTCATTGTTATTATCGGCGATTCAATGAATTGCTCGATCAGAGATATTACTCGTTAAAATGCGTATGTTCGATTCCATCCAGTCGGAAACACCGACGTTTCTCAGCGGAAGTACGCTGGTTTGTTATTCGTGTACAAGGCGACGTCCTTTCGCACAGGATAATTCTCGACGCACGGTTTATCGCGGTTTTATCATGGATGATGCTTCAAAACAAATAGAGCAAAGCCTTAGAACTAAAATTTTGTAATCGAAACTGCCGTTATAAATTTTTTGGATACTCCTGTTTCAAATAGCTCAAGAGATTTTGATAATAAGTGACTGATACGTTTGAGTTATTTGAATATTTTTGCGATTCCTCCAAAATCTGTGATCACATTGATCTGTCTGTAGTATATTTTGCTGAAGTCAGAAAATCAAATCAACGTGGTTTATGTATTCTTTCGTTAGAAATATTATTTGAGACGTCGTCGAAATAAAACGATTGACGAGAATTGTCTTGCGAACGTACCCTGTACTTACGTAATCCATTATATTGTATGTACAACGTTCTTACAATAATTCAAGCGCGCCGCCGGTCGTGATCGAGAGTTTTGGAGCAGAGTGATTGCGTGTGATCGTCATTTCATGTCAACGATTCGCATTGGTTCACCGCCAAGAAACCAGCTCAAATGATCGTGACAAGGTATGTGTTATTACTGATTGGTTGGATCATTTAATCTGACCACATGCATCTTGGTGCTCAACGAAACACAAAGTTTAAGGCATAAGTATCACCTAGAAAAGATTATTTATACCATGAATAACTATTTCACAATAGAATCACGGAATCATTATTTTATATAACATTCTATAATTTTGCGTTTCAACGAGCAGTAATCGAAGATTAGAAAGATCGGGACCAAAGATATCGATTTATTACGACTTCAATGTTATTCTATTTTGCAGACACCAGTGCTCATCCTCTAAGAATGGATTCTCCTCTATCAGATCCCTGTTTCCACGAACAAAACAACTCAGTTTTGCGGAAATAGTGTCACTGAATACTTGCATGGTCCAGCAGCAGTGCAAGGGAGAAAGCTACTACAATAAACAATATTTTACATCTTCTGGACACCTATTCAAGCAATCCATGACAAGTTTGTTGAAATGTTTCTCGATTTACATCTTCATCGTTTTCTCTGTGTTATCCAACTGTATATTAGCAATTTCTAGTCTTAAGATATCATGGGATTGTTATTAAACCTTGATACTTTACAAGATTCATAGAACTGGTTGTGCAGAATCTTCAATACGTTTAGACCTTCTATTGAAAAAGCAAATAAGAATGAAAGAAAAAGAAAGTTGGAAGAGAAGAAGATATAAATGAGTTAAATAAATAAATGAGAAGGAATAAAGACACCAAGAGGACAGACCAACGATATCACCAACCATCAGTATATCGTAACCAATCGCAAAAGTGTGGTCTATTCACGGGACGCACAGACCGACGGCACACGTAGACCGCGATGGCGGCGGTCGGTTAAATTCCCTCGAGTAGAAACTTTTTAACGTGGCGTACCCAGGGCGCCCCAGTGCTCTGCGGTGGGTCATGCGTAGTGCGGATAAGTGCCCAGATGAGGCGGCACATGGCCTGAGGCTGTGTGGTGTCCTGCATACAGGTTAGCACCCGGACTCGTGGACCAGTAGCTAGAGGCCGATTGGAACAGGCCTCCTGGAACGGAGACCGACACGGAGGCAGCCGGTGGCGGCATGAGGTTCAACTTCGCGTGTCCGTAGCCGGACATGAACAGCTCACTCTGGTATTTGTAGGCAGCCGGGTCCGCAGCCGCGGGCTGTGTCGCTGCTGCTAGACCCTGGAAGTCGAACTTGTACGCGTACCTCTTCCCATGGACCTTTGTCATGATGTTCTTATCGTAGTAGTACCTGCAAACAAATAGGGGTGTCTTGATGCAAGATGGATGCAGCAAAGATTGCCCTTCGTGAATGTTAAAGTCTGGCCGAAGAGTATTAGCTTTTTACTTTTTGAAACGTGAATATGTTACGTGCAGAATTTTAATTGGATAATTCTGTATCGTAACGGAAGAAGATTGATGGAATGCAGAGTTATTTTAACTGTGACAAATCTGATGTAGAATAGGGTAATAACCGCTGGAGTTTTAAGCGTGTGTGATAGATGGAACAGCGAAGTACTGAAACAAATGTGCTGTGATATTATTTTTCTTTGATATACAGGTCGTACAAAATAGGGGGTGATGAATACAGGTTCGATTTTGTTTTAGTTTTTATCGGCAAAACTTCAAAGGCGTAGATTACTGGCGCCTGCTTATGAGCAACCCACCATACATCAAATATTTTCGATGAATCCTAGTTAAGGTTTAGATACCTGCATATTGCTTAATATATCACATATTATTATCTAATTTCCTTTTTGCATTTATATTACAGTGAGCTGTTACTGGAAATTCGCTAAAATCCTATGATTACTGCTACGTATGGCGGGTTGCTTGCTAACAGGCGCCAAACATTTGTAAATTTAAAGCTTCCTTGCTAAAAAATTATCTATTATCTCTCAGTACCACATTTTTTCATTAGTATATATTTATGAAACCTTTTATATAATATTTATATATAGAATACACGATAATTAAAAGTTAGTAAGTGATTACCACTCATTTACTATTTTTCAGATTTCACCGGGCAGTTGAGGGAGTTTCTTCTCGTTCGATCAGAGGATCTTCAGAAAAAAAAGACAAAACTCGAGTCGTAATCGAAGTCCACTATCCTTCTATCTTCATATCGGTCGAGATACGATCGAGCGAGACCGTGCGCCGCCATAAACCGGCGATTTACGAAGTCGCTGGAAGCCGTAAAAATGCGCGCAGCCAGTGGAGTCTTATTTAATAAATTCTATTTGCCAGCGCCGATAACGGCGCCGCTTCCGTAGCGACGGAAGCGCCTTTTGCTTTCGTTTCTTTTTTCGTCGAGTTACTGTCACGAGCATAGCCTGAAACTTGTAGCTGTATATGAAGGTGTGGTGGTGGATAGAAACAGAGGAGGCGAGAGAGAAAGAGAGATGGAGAGAGTGGAGCAGTCTCGCGTAATATAATCAGTCGATCTGATCGAAAAATAATAGCCGCGTCTGCCGTCGGTCTGACTGTCGGTGATTGAAATTTCTCTCCCCTGGCTTCTCTCCACCGCCCTTGCATAGCTGCGCGCCATAGTCCTTTCGTTCAACGAATTTACTTTCTCTCTGGATTTTCCGTCTACCCGTTAAATATTGACGTTTCGCCGCGTTTTTACTGCGCGAACGTTATCCTTTGCATTGCGGTTTAATCGCTCGGTTTAACGATCAGATGATTTTTAAATATGAAAGTAGTCTATACAAATCTACTCGAATGGCCAAAAAGCAATGTCGATATATTTACCTATTTTAAAACAAAAATAAATTTCAATCGAATCTGTAATTATTTGTCATCTTATAGATAGCTGCAAAATTTCAATTACTATGCGGTTATATGTAACAGGTTAGAGACACTGTTTTGTATTTAAAAAGGAGGCAGCGCCATCTAGCGTGACAATTCAATATTACGTATCGGTTAACCCAATATTTATATTATTTTTTCAAAGTGTTTTACATTTACTGCTTCATAGTGGAACAGTTTTTACAAGAACAATGAGATAATGTGAAACAACACCCAAGTTTTTTGGAATTATGGATATTCGGAATTATCGGTAGGTATTGCTTGTAACAATTTTTTATAATCATAGCGAAGATAGTCTGAAATATATTTTAATGAAGTTGCAGTAATTAGTACATAGAGGTTATGTCTCTGTTGTCTGCTTTAGCGGTCTGAGGAAAAATTGTGAAGCATCACTCACCTTAAAGCCCTCGACAATTTGTCATAATTCATGTTAGGCTTGGACTTCCTTTCGCCCCAACGTCTCGCCACTTCGTCGGGGTCAGTCAACTTAAATTCGCCGTTGGTTCCTTCCCACGTAATGCACGCGGCGTTGCTCGAATCCGACAGTAGCTCGAGTAAAAATTGCCAGAGTTGAATCTGACCGGAACCGGAGCTTGCGAGCCGACTGCTCGTCGCTCCGAACATTTGGTAGGGATCTAGAACATTTGGAGGGACCGAGTCACAATTTAGAAATCCTTTCGTTCTCGGTAGCAAACTGTTCCCTCGTTTTAAAAATCTTTTCGGAACGATTCTCGCTATTCGTCAATGTATCGCTTTCTCGAGGCATGAAATGATCTCGAAAGGCCATCGTTAAAATCAATTTCAATAACATGTCTTTGCGCGTAATTAATTAACGGAAGACCAATTTCTTCGACGGAAAAAAATTCACCGAGAACGGAAGGAAGAGAAAAATTTTTATTTCTGTACTCGAGTTGATTGTAATTTTTTCTTTTTTTTTCTCAGCATTTCCCCGGAACATATACCTATCCATTACACGGTTGTTTCCCAGTGCTCCCTGTATCGCCCTTTAAAAGCCTTACAATGCGTCATCACCGTCGTTCGCTACTGCTCAGACCTGGAGTGCCCTACAACCGTACAAAAGGATATAATCGCAACCCTACAATAGAATAGAGTTCGTTTGGATCATAATAATTTCAATTGAAGGAACGAACGACGGAGTGGTTCAAAGGGCGTTCACGAATGTCTTCTGAGAGAGCGCACACTGTTAAACTGAGCATCGCGTTCCAACTGAGCGTGAGCTAAATGATCAAAATATGGCCCTCGCGTGACAGATGCGAACAATTCCTTTCTTCAGCGACATTCTACGCTTTTTTCCTATTTAGTCGATAGCGTTCGTGAATGTGGTATCACACCCTGTAAAAAGATAGGGGGTTTTGAATGTTTACCTTAAATTTCGATTAGCATCGACTTGACTTTCTCTCGAATTTAACTGAATTCGAGACGAGTTGGATTAATTCTATACATACGTTTGCCTTCGATTCAGTGCAATACATTGCAATTAGTTACACAAATTTCGATTCACATTTTCACTTACATAATTTAGACGATCCTACAGTTTCATTGTGTTTTACACAAGCACTTTAATTCGAAAGAAATTCCTTATAATATACGAGCAATAAACTATTTCGGTTTCACAAGATTCAGATTTCAGAAAATTCTGGGAATTTATAGTTCAGAGAATTTAAGGTATGGGGAAATCAGACTTCAACATGTAAAGCATTCAGAATGCAGAGAAATGAAAATATATGAAACGCAAAAGGTTATGTGATTTAGTTTAACTTAATTCAATTACCTTAACTTTATTTCTACGCTAACATACAATTGTACAGAATATGAAATTTTGCAGAAAGAAATCCGGAAGCAGCCCGAACAGCATCCAAGAGAAGAATGAAGGACAGGATTGAAGCGAGCGAAAAATCGCGGAAACTGCGATCCCGACTGCTTGGTCGACTCCCATAAAAATACATTTCACCGATTATGATAGGGGACAGACGTACGCTATGGGGATCGCTCGTGAATTGCCGGACCTCAAAGGTCGTTTCGCCTGATGAATCCCCTGAAATGCGTGGCGGAGTGATCGCCTTTCGATCGAACGGTAATTCACTTACAAGTTAATAATGGGAAGGGGCGTGGTACACCCATTTATCTGCTGAGCAGACTGGCGGGGGAGGAGGGGGACGAACCGGAACCAACGATACAAATATTGAAACGCTACTGTTTCTTCCAGGATCCGTCGTTTTATGAAGCTGGTTGACCAAGAAAACAGGGACTCTGATAGACACCAGTGACCCTGTTCCAACTTGCATCTATCGGGCTCTTCTTTCACCAGAAATCGAGCGCGTTTCTTCTCCAACGAAAATTTACATCGATTTGCATGGAACTGTGGTTTCCGTGGACTTTGTATTCAACTTTTAACTCATGTAAATCTATCCTGACCGATGGTAAACTTTCAACCACGAATCGATGGTGATGATATTCTGATTTTGCTCGTGAAACGAGGAAGAGAAGCCACCATAAAAATTCACTCTTTTTTATTGATTATTTTTCAATATTGAGTTCGACGTGAAAGTCATTTGGTAATTGATTTGGAAGTTCTATTTCTTTTCTACGTTTTCTTTCCTTTTTAGTTCATTCTATAGTAAGCTATTTGAAATAGATTAGATTCACAATCAGATTCCATCGTTTACTTTTTAATACTCGTAATAATGGGGTCAGAGGCATAGAGACCGTTCTCGGGACACTTATTTAAAGCTATTGATCAGTCGGAAGGAGTAATTTTTGGGTGTGGCGCTGAAAAGTCAGGCCAGGAACAAGGAGGGTTTGCGTGATTAGTGACGAACGTAATAATTGTGAAGGTCATTCCGTGCAATTGCTTCGGCAAAATGGCCATCGATTGGGTCACGCGTGAATACTCGTTCTTTTGTGGATCATAACTTTTTAAACCTCGCGTGTACCCAGAGTTATTCTTCTAATTGCTCGGTAATTTAAGTCGTTCTAATCTTTATTCGACACATTCACGAATTTTTGCTAAATTAGGTTCGTTATTTATTAAAAGAGTAACGTAGCTTGAAAGCTTTTTCGTTGCTTCGAAATGATCTATTACACTGTCAAACAAATTTTAACTTCTTCTCTTAGAATCATTAGAGTCTTTTGAAAGCCAGGGTACTCGGATATCACAATTTTCGAAAACTAAGGGTGATAGGGCAATTTCGATTACAGATTCGTTTTCAGGAAAGTAAACTCTACAAGAGTTGCCCAATGAATACTACAGATTAAAATTCATGTTGAGCAGTTTTATTGTTAAATATCTTTCCTTTACTATAAGTTAAGAATAGGTTGAAGTTACAGTTTATTACTGATAAATGTACTGAATAATATTTATTTAACTGATTCTTTCTTTTTTTGTCATAGATTAAAAAGAAGTAGTGCTTTAACTTCTAAAAAATATCTACCTACTACATACCAGGCTGCCTGAGGTGGGTGTGCGTGTCCAGTGCTGACTTGGATAAGCTGCTTCCGTATCCTGGAAAAGGGTAATTACCAGGTAGTCTTAACATATCGTTTCATTCACACAAGATTGTACAAAATTATAACATAAAGAATTTATCTTAAAGTAGAAAATGGGGACCTCAAATATCCAAGGACTCGAAGACTCAATATCTCTACTTCTCGACACAACTCTTTTCGAAATCTTTAACAGAGGATTCACATATAAAAACAAAATTTTAACTGAACCGTATGAGTATTAAATTATCAATTTGCTATTTTCAACATCGATTTAACCCTTTGTGGTTCAAGTCGCATTCGACGCTTTACCCCAATTAGCTCTTATTCAAATACTTGGAAGCACTACGCAAAATTTGATTCTATTTTTGTATTTTTGTAAGCGATACATTTTTGTTGAATTAAATTGAAACAAAATGTATACAAAATGTCGAGTACAATTAGATATAGGACCGGAAAGGGTTATGTAACCAAAAGATCGCCATTGATGATCTATTATTCTTTTCTAACAGAAATGCTAAGTTCAACCGTTATTTTCTCCAACGATCTATCCTCGTGACGGAATTTCAGAGGCGACACAACGGAACGACAGGCCAATGGAAAAGGGTGCAGGGAAAATCGTCGGTTCGTCGAAGATGAAAAAGTACAAGCTCGGTCGAGCGTTAGAATCCGTTAGAGAGGATTTCCGTGTAGGCAAACACGGGGCTGAGTGGCCGTATACGTTTCTCCCCGCTTCCACGTTCCATCGACGTTTCGTTGCCTTCTCCTACGCCTTATCAGGCCTCGACTCTTCTCCTCGCGTGTGTACGTGCGAGGAGACCGAGGAAACATGCCCACAGGTCACGTTTGCGCCAGTGTGCAATCTGTTTAAGGCACAATGCCCCTTAATTTCGCCTCGTTATATGCTCTCGTTACGGGAAATCCCCCACCCTGTCGTCGGGTATCGCGTTATCGGTTTCATCTTCTCGATGGCTCGAAAACCGGCGAAACTGGTAATCGCCGGAAAATTGATTCGACTCAAGGAGAATCTTAGTTTTTGTCCTCGGTTACATCGAAAATAGACCCACAGGTATCAATAGTTTATTAATTCATTTGATTTGGAGATGTCCATAGTAGACTGAAACTTAGTTGTGTTTGGAAATTGTTTCAGAATGACAGTGATTTTTTGGAGAAGATTACTGAAGTCTATCCTAGGAAAGTTAGCTGTGTAGCTTGGATTCTATTCATGTTTTCTTGTACAATTTTTATAAATTGTGTTTGACGAGACTGATTTTTTGACTTGGTAAGATTAAAGAACTTCTAGTTACGAAAATTTGAAATTTTCATAATCGTATTTCAGTATAAGATTGAAGTGGATTAGGTGTAAAATAATACACAAATGAATTAAGATGTCTCAAGCCATTGGTAAATCGATTCTGTTTTCCTTTTCCAGCCGTCACGATAAGAGCATTCTGCAGGAATCCTGCAGTGTGATTGTACGAGGCAGATGCTGTCTCTAAATAGCAGTTGGTGTCCGCTGTGTTAAACAATTTGATTTCGCTTCTGATTGGGACACGGAACAGCCTTGAGCGAGGGATGCAACGCCTCGGGTCCAGGTTGTGGGGTCCGCCGCAATCAGTGTAGCCGTAGGGCTGCGACTCTACAGTCTTCCATGTCAAAAGGCGACCTCTGACACGGCGACAACACGGAATCTTGATGTTCTGGAATCTTATTCCTTTCTCCAAGTTGAAGTAACTACCGCAGATATGGATTCTAAATATTACTTCTGAGAAAGAACACAAATATCGATGATAAAGTTATAAAGAAAACTAGAATAATCTGTGTATTTCTGTAATTTTACAGGAGTACTCGAGACCTAATAGAATCATGGAAAGGACGTAATTGGTGTTAAGCTATGTTAATATGTTGCACCTGCCCACTAGGACTTCATTTACATCCCTACTTCAGCTGTTCGTCCGGCCATACAAGCAACATATGCTATATAATTTCAGTGTCTAAACTAAAACGTTAGGAAATCAAGAGTACGAACTTTCAACTATCTGCGACCTATTTAACTATATGACATAAGAAGAATCAACCAAGCTAATCAAGTTGTCCGGACAGTCAACCAGCTCCTCCTGTTTACTGCCCATTGTACAATCTAACATCGTCACTTTTCAAAGAAGTCGCATTAATTTCCTTCTACTGACCTGTCTAGTCTTACTAGTAGTCATGGAACAATTGAGCACAAGGAAAACAACGTAACATTAATCAGTTCCCAATTTAAATATACAATGTCTGTTGACGAAGAAATGGCTAGTTGAAGGTACAACATGTATTAACACATATTGCATACTTTACACTGATTCATCAGTGCTTTATCATGCTATGTCATTCGGTATAATATATCTCTTTCAACTTTGTTATTTGATGCTATATGATTACATACGTGGTTATATCATATTTTTAAGATTATGTGATGATATTAGAGAAGATAGACCTATTACGACCCGTTACTATGACCGATTACATCCGCATTCCTTCGAATAGTCTTTTTTCCATCAACAGTTCGTTACCAATAAAGAGCTTAGAAGCATTAGATTCTTTATTTGTCAGCAAAAGATATTTCGTTTATCGATGTGTTTGTGTTTGTAGTGTATGTTCAAGCGACAAAACTCGGAGGTCAGTAGCACAGAAGTCATCGATGGGCACATACGTCAGACGTTACGTCACCTAAAATCGACGTGTTCCTATTGTCACGCGTATATCTGCGCATTCACGAGCAATTACTTGGGGCGGGGTAATCCCGTTAGGCAGCGTACAGCTTCCTCGGGGGTGGATCAAAGGACCCGCTATTCCGAGCTACTGCACTCTTTGGCTGTTTCAGCCGTCGCTACAATGCTACTGGGGCTCCCAAGAAGGGGAACTATCTACGTCGTTTACGACGTTCTTCGACTTAGCGAAACTTTGGACAACTTTGAAATGCATACCTTCGTTCAGCCAATGTCGATACATAGTTTTGTACAATTATCGTTACTACTCCGTTTTCGTGCTCTTTAAACATTTTTAATCAAAGTCTTTTATATAGAGATTTCCGATTTCATTATGCCATGGCCTATCATGGACTTAGATCCGGTGTTTCTGAATTTTTGGACATACGGCGAAAGAGGATCCAAGAAGCAGAATAGATATAGGAAACACACAGTTTCCTTATGAAATAGTCAAGTGAAAATGAGTAACTTGGATTTATTTCTTGAGAGAAGACAAAATGTTACTGGTTTAAGTATATATATATACTTATACGTACTAATTCACTGATCATTAAATTATCAACTTATTCAAATGAAATTTGGCTTATTCTGCGCATATCTATACACATTATTAGTCACTCTTTGCATAAAGCAATGTAAATTATGTTACAGGATTATCAATTTTCTTGCTTATGAAAAAGAATCATACTTGAACCTCGAGATATCATAGAAATATATTTTCATACATAACAGAAAGCCGAGGAAAAGAGGTATCGTGAGAAAATGATGTAATATCAGAGGTTTAACCGGTACTGCGATAATTTTAATTGCTACAATAAAGTTATTTGCGGGAACCGGCAGGCGGAGGATGGTCTTAACCACTATCGTAAAAGGATCAGCGAGCACGATCGAGGAAAATGGCTGCGAAATCAAGAGGTAATTTCGATACGATGCGTGAAAGCAAGGAAACAAGCACAGCACGCAACTCGCTCTTTAAAGTCGCACGAGCAAGCGAATCGCTGGGCAACTTACATCGCATAATCGCCACCTGCGTTATAACGCGATCTTTTCCTGGTAAAATCGCAATTAATCACAATTAAGCGATTGCAGTCTTGTGTCACGTCGCAGAATTTTTCCAGTGCTGCCACTTTCTTTGTTAAGCGTGTAAATACAGAGAATTTACCACGTAGCTCTGTGAAAATAATTAAGGATTACGTACACGGGAAAGAGATATAAAAAGTCCGCGAAAAGTGTAAGTAAGATAAGGGAAAAATAAATGGAGGATAATTTAGAAATAATATTAGACAGCAAATCTTAATAAGGGTTGACTATAAATCATGTCTATCTGTATGGACACTGTGTTGATTTCGTGTCAACTTTGTATCCGATACTTTGACATTAAATATATACTAAAAGCCAGTCGACGAAGCTGAAGACAGGTAGCGAATGAAATAATATAATATAGAACGGGCCAAAGCGACCGGCCTAATCATGTCTGAACGAGGTTAAAACACCGGCACCCGCCGCTCTTATTTACGCCCGACAATAAGTCAATTCATCACTCTGCGATTTGGCCTTAAGTGGTATCACTGACTCATACACACAGCCGTCTCGAGCGGCGTGCTTATTTCGGGCATAAATCACCGTGTCCGTGCGGTGCGTAATAATGAGCAAGCGAGCGTAGCACGCGACCCTTTAAGCGTGCTCCCTGAAAAACGAGTGCCTAAGGTAGCAGGGATTAGCTTGCTCCCTATGTGCCCCTACTTAATACTGAAAGCGTCACGACCCGCGAAATTCGTCGCTATCGTCGAGCCACGTAAAAAATACAACTTTACGTGACATAGGTACGAAATCTAAAAATGATGTATTATAACTAATGACGAAATAAAGAAATTAGATGTTCAACTGATAAGTTGACAAATATAATTCATTTGGTTTAGATATTTTAGATTAGGAGCACTTCGAATTTAAAATCAGTTTGGTAGTGGCGGCTAATTTGACATGCGCGCGCAGCGACTTCTATTAAACGCGCGCAGTCGCTAATCGCGCCTGCTCGTGCGCAGCGTGGCGCGCAGGAAGTTAAAAGACGTCAAGCGAGGGGCATGGCAATCGCGCGTTTGTTAAAATTTTATCGTTTTACATTAATCTTGGTACAGTATTATCTAACTGTTCATACTTAACCTAATATGTTACGATTACTCTATTAGCCCCCTTTAAGAGAGTAATTATATGCAGCAATTCTCTTAGGTTTATATCCTTATTTAATATTCAACTTTACGACATCGTGCTA